TCTCCCCTCCTCTGTCTTTTTGTCTCTTTGCATGTCTCTCCTTCTGTTTCTTGCTTTATCCCTCTCTCTCACTCCTTATCTCTTTCTCTCTGACATGCGGACATGCACTTTCTCATGTGCACTTGCTCTTTATCATACATGATCATGCTTTTTCGTGCTCACTCACTCGCTTATGCCCTTACTCTTTCTTGTACCAATGCACCCCTTTTTGTGCTCTTGTACCCTTTCTCATGGCCATGCCCCCATTCCCATGTTACCCTCTTGCTCGTGACCTTGCACCCTTTCTCACAACCTCATTCTTGCTTTCTTATGCGCTTGTGCTCGCTTTCTTTCTAACACCACCTCTCTTCCCTGCAATCCCTACCTCACTCATTCACGGTCCCTCATGATCTGCCTCGCTCTTTCCCATCTTTCTCTCCCTTACGTCTTCTTTTCCTCCCTCTTTTCCCTCTCTCTCTCATTCTCACATAATCTTTTTCTTTCTTTCCCTCTCTCTCCTCATATTATCTTCTCCCTTTTTGTGTCCCCCTTTGTCTCTCCCTCTCTATCACTCTTTAATGTTCTTACTCTTTAACTCTCGTTCTTGTGTCCTTACTCTTTTTTGTGCCCTTCCTTATTCTCAGAACCTTGCTCTCTCTTGCATGCTTGCTCTCCCTTGTTTCTTGTGTGCTGGCTCTTTTTCTTGTGCCCTCACACCCATCCTTTCTCATGCCCACTCTTTCTCATGCAAGATTTATCTCCCTCTTTCTTGAGAGCTTTCTTTCTTGGGGGCCCTTTACCTCTCTCTCTGTGGCTCTCCGTCCATCTAGCTCTCTTTCTTTCACATACACTTGCTCTTTCTCACAGTTGATAATGCTCTTTCTTGTGTTTGTTCCCTTTCTCTCAACCTATTCTCTTTCTTGTGCCCTTACTCCCTTTCTGTCAACCCCATTCTCATGACTTCACCCCCTTTCTTGTGACCTCACACCCTTTCTCTCAACGTCATCCTTGTTCTTTCTCATGCTCTCACACTAATTTTCTCATGCGTGCTTTCTCTCCTTCTGCCATACTCTCTCTTGGTTTCTGGTGCGGTCCCTCTCTCAATCTCTTTGAGCTTTATCTATGATTCTATTCTATTCATAAATCATATCTATTGGCGGCCGGTCACGAGCGGTGTTCCCCAGGGCTCAGTACTGGGGCCGGTCTTGTTCAATATCTTTATCAATGATCTGGATGAGGGGATCGAGTGCACCCTCAGTAAGTTTGCAGATGACACCAAGTTGGGCAGGAGTGTTGATCTGCTGGAGGGTAGGAAGGCTCTGCAGAGGGACCTGGACAGGCTGGATTGATGGGCCGAGGCCAACTGGATGAGATTCAACAAGGCCAAGTGCTGGGTCCTGCACTTTGGCCACAACAACCCCATGCAGCGCTACAGGCTTGGGGAAGAGTGGCTGGAAAGCTGCCTGTCAGAAAAGGACCTGGGGGTGTGGGTCGACAGCCAGCTGAACGTGAGCTGGCAGTGTGCCCAGGTGGCCAAGAAGGCCAATGGCATCCTGGCCTGTATCAGAAACAGTGTGGCCAGCAGGAGCAGGGAAGTGATCGTGCCCCTGTACTCGGCCCTGGTGAGGCCGCACCTCGAATACTGTGTTCAGTTTTGGGCCCCTCACTACAAGAAGGATGTTGAGGTGCTGGAGCGTGTCCAGAGAAGGGCAACGAGGCTGGTGAGGGGTCTGGAGAACAAGTCTTCTGAGGAGCGGCTGAGGGAACTGGGGTTGTTTAGGCTGGAGAAAAGGAGGCTGAGGGGAGACCTCATCGCTCTCTACAACTACCTGAAAGGAGGTTGTAGCGAGGTGGGTGTCGGTCTCTTCTCCCAAGTAACAAGCGATAGGATGAGAGGAAATGGCCTCAAGTTGCGCCAGGGGAGGTTTAGATTGGACGGGAGGGAAAATTTCTTTACTGAAAGAGTGGTGAAACACTGGAACAGGCTGCCCAGGGAAGTGGTTGAGTCCCTATCCCTGGAAGTATTTAAAAGATGTGTAGATGAGGCACTTAGGGGCATGGTTTAGTGGACATGGTGGCGTTGGGTCGACGGTTGGACTCGATGATCTTAGAGGTCTTTTCCAACCTTAATGATTCTATGATTCTATGATTCTATCTCCACCCCCCTTCTGTCTCTCCCTCTTTCTTCCTCTTTCCCCTCGTTCTTCCTCATTCTTGCTCTCTTTCAGACACTATCTCTTTCTTGCCATCTCTCTCACACACTCAAACTTTTCCTTGCACACGTGCTCTTTCTCACATTAGCTCTCTTTCCTGTGCCCTCACACCCACCTCTTACTGTGCCCTCTCTTTCTCGCACATGGTCCTGCTCTTTCACCCACTTGCTCCTCTTCTCACGACCTCACTCTGTTGCAACCTCATTCCCTTTCTCATGCCCTTGCTCCCTTTCTTGAGGCTTCACTGTCACTCATTCTTATGCCCTCGTGCTCGCTTTCTTGCACTCCCTCTCCCTCTTTCTTGAGAGCTGTCTTTGTCACAGGTGCTCCCTTTCTACCTTGCACACACTCGCTGTTTCTCACATGTGCACTATTTCTCACAAGTTGTCCTGCTCTTTCTCGTGCTCCCTCCCTTTCTCACACCCTCTCTGTCTCGTGGCCTTGCACCCGCTCTTACACCCTCTCCCCCATTCTCATGACCTCACCCCCTTTCTCTCAACCTTGCTCTCACTGTTTCTCATGCCCTCACGCTCACTTTCTTGCACACACTTTCTCTTTCTTGCACAATCGCTCTTTCACGTGCCATCTCTTCCTCACACACACTCTCTCTCTGTACTACTCACGTGATCTCTCTCCCCCTTTGTAAACGGTCTCATGATTTCTCCCACTCTTTCCCTCTCCCTCTCCCTCACTCTTGCCCTCCCTCTCTCTTGCTCTTTCCCTCTGTTTCCCCCTAATTTTCTCTCATGGGCACTCTCCTTCCCACCCATACTTCCTTTCTTGTGCCTCCTCCTTTTCTCAGACCATCACATCCTTTCTTGTGCCAGTGCTTCCTTTCTAACACCATCATGCCCTTTCTTGTGACCTCACACCCTTTCCTGCACCCTTGCACTCTGTTTTTCTCATGCCCTCATGCTTGCTTTCTTGTGTGTGCTTTTTTTTCTGCATGCCATCTTTTTCCAGCACTCTCTCTTTCTCACATTCTCTCTCTTCCCCCCTCTTTCTTGCACTCTCTGTCTCTCTTTCTCTTGCATGTGCACTTTCTTGCACCTTTGCTCACGCATGCTTGCACTTTTTTTTGCACACTCCCTTTTTCAAGCACTTGCCCTCTCTCATGCTCTTGCCTTTCTTGTGCTCTTGCTTTTCTCTGTGTGCTTGCTTTCTTATGCTCCTCAACCCTTCTCTTGCCCTCAACCCTTCCCCTTCTTGCACTCACCCTTTCCTGTGTCCTCATGCTCACTCTTTCCCATGTGAGCTTTCTCTTTTTTGTGAGCATTCTTTCTCACATGCTCACTCTCCCTCTCACTTGTACGCTCTCATTCTCTCTCTCATGTGCACTTTCTTTCTCACATGCTCACTCTCTCACGTGCAGGCTTCCTTCCTCATGAGCTATCCTTTTCTCATGCCCTTGATTTTTCTCACACCCTCACTTTCTTGTGCCCTCACGCACTTTCTTAAAACCTTGTGCTATATCCTTTTCACACCCTCATGCTTGTGTTCTCACACACGTGTTCTTTCTCAATCCATCTCTCTCTTTTGCCTTGCACCCCTTCTCTCTCCTTCTTGTGTTGTCTCCCTCTTTATTCCTTGTGCATTTCTGGAGTGCTCCCCTTTTCTTGTGGCCTTGACTTTTGGTGCCCTCCCTCTTTCTTGCACCCTCATTCTGCCTTGCACGTGCTTGCTGTTTCTCATGCAACCATGCTCTCACATGCTTATGTGCTTTACCCCACCCTTGTGCTTTCCTTTCTTGTGCCCACGCCTTCCCATGCCCTCACACTCACTGTTCACACTCACTGTTTCTCACGTGGGCTTTCTTTCTCATTTGATCTTTCACACGCACTCTTTCTCTCCCTCGTACTTTAGCACTCTTTCTCACATGTTCTTTCTCTCTGTCTTGATCTCACCTCCCCTCTTTCTCTCTCACTGTTTCTTGCTTTATTTAGCTTTTGCTCTTTCTTGCTTCCTCACTCTTTCTCTCTCACCCTCTCTCTCTTTCCCTCTCTTTCTCTCATGCTCACACTTTTCTCATTCATGCTGACTTTTTCTTGCACTGGTGCTCTTTCTGGATATCGGCATGCTCTTTCTCATGCCCACTCCTTTTCTCATGCCCTCACTCTCTTTCTCATGCCTGGTCTCTTTGTTGTATCTTCACTTTCTTTCTCACAACCTTGCACCCTTCCTTGCGACCTTGTGGCCTTTCCTGCAACTGTGCACTCACTCTTTCCCATGCCCTTATGTCTTGCTTTCTTCCTCATGCCATCTCTTTCTTGCACCTTTCCACACATTCTCTTTCTTACACACTATTTCCCTCTTTCTTGTGTGTTCTTTCTCACACACTCTTGCGCACAGGCACTCACTCTTTCTCATGCCTTTGCTCTCTTGCTTACTTTCTTGTCCATGCTCACACCCTTTCTGTATATCCCCTTTCTTCAGCGCCCTCCCTTTCTTGCACCCTTGCCCCTTTCCGTGCCCTCTCTCTTTTTGGTGCCCTCGTTCTTTCTCGTGCCCTCACTCTTTCTCATTCCCTGGCTCTTCCTCACACGCACTTTCTATTTCTTATGCACTTACTCCCTTTCTCACACACTCACATGCTTCCTCATGCACTCATACCCTTTCCCGTGCCCTTATGCTCACTCTTCCTCAGGCGAGATTTCTCTTACTCATTTGACATCTCTTTCTCATGCGCTCTTTCTTGCCCTCTCTCACTCTTAGTCACGCTCTCTCACGGTTTCTCTCACTTGCTCTAATGCATTCTCTCTCCCTCCCTTCCTACCTCGTCTCTTTCTTTCTCTTCTTCACCCGCTCTCTCTTCTGTGTGCTTGCTCTTCCTTGTGCACTTGCTTTTTCTTGTGTTCTTTCTCGTGTGCACTCGTGCTTTCTCATGTGGTCCACTTCTTGCATGCATCCTCTTTCTCATGCCCTCACTCTTTTTCATGTGCTTCCTATTCCTTATGGCCTCACTTTCTCATGTGCACTTGCTCTTTTTCTGCATACTTGCTTTGTCTTACACACCTGCTCTTTCTTGCACCCTCATGCTCCATCTTTC